CCCCTCCGGGTCCTCCCACCCCACTCGGCTCCCTCCTTTCCCAGCCAACGCCGCCCCTCGCGCGCTCTGGCGCCGCCGCAGCCGTCGCCGCCGGGTGAGTCTCGCGTCGCTGCAGCCGGCGCGCTCCAAGCTCTCTGCTCCTTCCCCCTCCCCTTTTCCCTGGGGGGGCGGAGAAGGGGGGGGGTCCACGATGTGACTGTATGTGTGTCCGTCCCGGAACCGGAAGTGGTTGTGGAGGAGCGGGCGATGGGGAGGAATGGGGGGGCTTAGGGGGCGGGTGTCTGTCTGGTGGGTGGCAGAGTTCAGCTCCCTGGAGAAGGAGGGACGTCCCAAAGAAGGGTCTTTGAGGAAGGGGTTGGGGGAGACATCAGGAGAAGGCTCTCAGGAGCTGTCTCAGGGGAGCGAGGGCTTTTGGGGGATAGCTGGGGTCCAACAGATAAACCACTGTGCAGCCTGAGGGAGGTACTTCTTGGCCTAAGGCCTTGGGTAGGCAGGGGCGAAGTTCTCACAGAAGCGTGTGGGGGGGAGACTAGAGGAAGTGGCTGGGCCTGAACTGGCACTGTGCCTGACACAAGGGCTTGTGCATCCCCCCAGTACTCAGCTCTGCCTTTTGTGCCAATCCTCGGGGCAGGGACCCTTCTCTTCCAACTCTTCTGTGCTCTGACCCCTGGTTACCTGTGGCCCTGTGGAAGGAAGAAGGACCAGTGTCTGAGCCCAGGAGTGGAACCCAAACACTGGTGACAGAGTTCATCCTAGTTTCGGGGAATTGGATTTATTATCCTTGTATCCACATAGAGGGTGACACTGCACTCCTGTTATTATATACTTGCACCTTTGGATTGTTGGTTGGGGGTCTGCCTGCCTTCCTGGCTGACTGCTGACAGAATTCCTGAGGTCTTCCACAGTTCTCTGGTGGCTGCACCTTCATTGGCCGCTGTAACCCAGACAATTTGTTTACAGAAAGTTCAGGAGCCCTGGAAAGGAGAAAGAATAAAACGACAGGAGGAAGAGAGAGAGAGGGTAAGAAAACTTGGGGTTAATGGCTTTTCTGGTTTGGGGGAGAAGGGGATCATAATGGGTTTTTGTGGGGACAGTGTGACAGAACTCTTCAAGTAATAGCAATTGCTGTGGGAGAAAAATGAACCTTTTCCTAGTGTTTCTTGGGGGTGCCTAGGAAGTTTTTGTGTAACAAGGTGGCTCTGAACCCCATCAACCTTTCATTTCTACTCATCAGGAACGAGTTGTGAAATGCTCAAGTGAAATCACTAAGTAGTGTTGCATTGTGTCCAAATGAGAAATTCTACTTTGGGGACAAATGGGCCCTAGTTGTCAGTATAGTCCTTATGACATAGCTTATGGAATTGCTTTCCTGTATTTGGAACAAGTAGAGTTGAGTTTAGAGTGGGGTTCATATCCTTACTATTGCAGCGGAGTGTTTGGAGTGTATCTGCTGAGCGATTAGAATCTCACACAGGGTTATTTGAATTTGATGTGGCAGGGTGAAGTTTTCTGGTTCATAGGTAGTTTGAAGTAAAGTGGATAAAACTGTATAGAGTGAACTCCAGAAGTAGGTCTGAAAGAATTCAAAATATGAGGCTTGATGGTGATAGAGTTTCAGGTAGCCTGAAAAAGACAGTGTATGATCCAAAAGATTTTGAGTTCAGAGCTTACAATCCTAGAGGTGTCTGCAAAGACCCAATTCCAGGCTGGTTTATACAATGTATTCCCCATAGGTTTCTCAGCCAAGTTGATGATTAAATCATGATTAAATGTTAGTTGCATATCCCCTCTTCTCCAGCCCCCATTTTTTTTTTCTGCCACACATTGCCCAGATCCATCATTTATAGTGGAATGGGCAGGGCAAGGGGAACTACTGTATTCTTCCCACAGAGTACAGGGTATGATGATGCAGCGGTGCCCGGGGAAGAAGATGCTGTCCTACATTGCCAGCTGTGTGGCGGTACTGGTCCTGTTGGTCTGTTTGGCATGGTGTGATGAGTGTCCACAGTAGAATAGAGATAAACCTGTTCTGAGTTATTTTGTACTTGGGAGAGTTTACAGACAATAGGAAGGCCCTAAATCCTATTGGGATGGCCCTTTTTGAATGCCCTTCTTGAACCCAGGACCTGAGAGAAAGATTTTGTTTCCTTACTGAGAAAAAAATGGTTCTGTGTGTTTCTTCACTTCAAGTCCTTAACTGATACTGCAACCTTTCTGCAGTTGTGCATTTGGGGACAGTTTTGCTCAATAGTGTCTGAGATCCATGGATCAAGTTCTTTATGTAGTTGAATTTGAGTTGATTGTTCTTTGCATCTGTATTTCTTTTTTTTTTTTTAAGATTTTTATTGGGGAATTGTGGGGATGGGAACAGTGCTGGGGAATTGGGGTAAGGGGAACAGATAAGTTGCTGTCGTTTTGTTCTTCAGTCTAGTTGTGGAGGACGTGGTTTCACTGGCCCAAGTTGACACCATCATTGCGCTCTTCCCGGGCGAGGTAGATCAGTCGCCGGCTTCCGGATGGCCGCCCACTGGCTCACGCTGTCTGCTGGCTACATACGTAGCCCATGGCAACCCACTGCCACAGGGGCTGCAGCCTACAACCCACTGCCACAGGGGCTGCAGCCTACGCCGTCGCCGGCGACTCACAGCAGCCCAGCTCCAGGTTGAGCTGTTGTTCAGCATCTTAGCTGTGGAGGGCAGTGTCACTGGCCCTCATATGTGGGATCCGAACCGGGGCCCTCTGGCATCCCAAGCCAGTTCTTAACCATCGCGCCACTCGGCCGGCCCCTGTATTTCTTGTAAGTGCTTCTAGGTGGTGATTACTAAGCTGGAGGCTGTAGAACTGATACTTTTGGGTGGTTCCTTTGTAATTATGTGGTCTTTATGTAATTTTCACTAATTGTCACTAATAGTCTTCATCACAAAGAAGTATTTCTCTCCCTTTCAGGAGCACTTTGAGTATTTTATTCTTTGCTGCCTTTATCCCATCACCATATGCCTTATGAATTTGTTTTAAGAGGTTTGTTCTCTATCCTTTACCCAAATAGAAGCTTAGTAGAGTAGTAAATTATTCAGTTATCCACTGATGTAGGACCTAGAATTAGATTCCAGAAGTCTTGATTCTTAGGTCCATTCCCTAGTTACTAAACTTGGTTGGTGCAAGTATTTCATGATGTTCTAAAGGTTGGTTGTGTTAAGAGAATGTCATTTTCCTGAGAAAAGAAAATCGTGGTTTATTTGAAAAAACAACAATAAAAAAATTATAGTAAGTACCAGGAAAGAGGTGGCGGTCTTCACCATGTCTACCAAAACTGCATGCTGGGGCAGTGACATCTTTATTCCTGGATGGCTGGTAGCACTGTGGAAGGATGGGCAAAAGGGCAAAGCTCTGGTGCAGGAGTTCAAGTTTTACTATGTTTCATGCATGTTACTTAATATTGTCTTTTTTCTTTACCTCCTCGGTGCTTCCAAGATTTCTTTTGAGATTGGTAAAGAAATATTTGTATGTAGTTCCTTGAACTTCTTGAAAGAAAAGTACTGTCCAACTTAATTATAGTAAAACTCCTTTTTTATTAACAAAACAGTTAAGGCACAGTACAGTAGTAAAGTTGAAATTAGAACCCAGATTTTCAATCTGCCAGTATACTTCTTCCCATTTATTATGTTTTTTCTTCTTTTCCTGTTCTTTGGGGCTATGATAGAAGCCTTTCACTTCATTCCCAGTCTAGGGTAAACCAGTTGTTTTTTTGTTTTGTGTTTTTTAATATATTGGCATAATCATCAAAACTGGTGCTCTGTGTAGAGATGAAATTTCCCTGGAATATCATTGGGTTCTTTGGGTTTAGGAATGTTGGTACGTGTCTGTTCGGATGTCAGGATGGTTTGGTGAGAGTTCCTCCACAAAGGCGAGTTAAGAGGATAAATGGTAAAATGGACAGTAAACAAGTATTTGAGTGACCTGGTCCCAGGGGCACCATTTATATGTCTTCTGGCAAGAGCCTGCCTTCTTGGCTCTCAGTTTGATTTCATTTCAGGGATACAGAGATTTAAGTCAGCCTCATCAGAACAGTGGTATAGCATTTCTCAGGTATCATTTTGCAAGCAAATATCGTTTCTAGTTGGCCAAGCAGTACTCTCTCTCCATGTACCCCTATTTTGGGCTGACATACTTATCAGAAGCCCACAAAGCACATTTATCATTTTGTGTTAGGACCAGCTATGGTTCTGATCTTCAGTTTTATTCTCTTAAAAACCAAAGCAGAGTGATAGACTGGGTATCTATGGAAGTGGCCTTTTATTGAGTTTACTCACTCTGGACATTCCAAAATCAGTTATCATGGTGGCCGAGAAAGGTTTCACAGGATGAGCGCAGAGAATATAATCTTTAACTGCATTTTGCTGTCATCAGAACTTCATTTCTAAAAACAGTGAGAACTATCTGAAAAAATGTATAGCCCAGTCCTGAAAACATTCTAAAATTTTTTTTTTTAAAGATTTTATTGAGGAATTGGGGAAGGGGAACAGCCAAGTTGTTGTCCTTCAGTCTTAGTTGTGGAGGGCGCAGCTAGCTCAGCTCCAAGTCCAGTCACCATCCGGCCGCCTGTCGGCAGCTTTCGGCCACTCAGCTCAAGGTGCCATGTTCAATCTTAGTTGTGGGTGGACATAGCCCACCATCCCATGTTGGAGTCGAACCAGAAACTTTGTTGTTAGGAGCATGTGCTCTCACCAGCTGAGTCATCCTGCCACCTGCTGGCAGCTCAGTGGCAGCTCAGCTCGGGCACAGCTCACTGGCCCATGTGGGAATCGAACTGGTGACCCCGTTGCTCAGAGCTCGCACTCTTAACCAACTGAGCCACTCGGCTGGCCCGGAAATATTCTAAATTTTAATTCATGAATTAAGCCACAACATCAGAACATCAGAAAGTATGTACTTCAATTGTATGGTTTTGATCTCTTATAGAACCCGTTCCCTAACTTGCTCTGCTATTTACTGTTTGCCTCCAATTTCCTCTTTTGAAAAATGGGGATTACAGTACCCTACTTCATAGAATTGTGGTGGAGATTAAATGATGGGACAGTTGTCAAGTGCTTAGAACACTACCTTGAACACAGTAAGGACTTAATAAATGTTAATGGTAATATCGTCTACCCATCACTTTGTAGACCTTCTTCGTAGGAACCTAATGGCTGTATGTTCCTCAGAAACTGCTTCACCTGAACCACTTGTAGGACAATATGAATAGATACAGTCTTTTTTGGGAGGGAAGGGCCTCGTCACAGGAATCCTATCTGAGGACATTCTTATTTTCAGGCTCTCAGTTCCTCCTAAATTTTCACATCCGTAATGTGTTTACTTCCTTGACACTTTAGGGGGAAATTATATATTAGACACCCCTTTCTTTTACTCTCCAGCCTAATTCTTTGTTTCATTTCTACCATACAACACCACTGTTGTCTGTTTCATTTCTCTCGGCTAAAAGATTAGACAAACTGGGGTCATGGAGTAGGTTTGAGCTCCTAGCAATGTTTTCAAAACCTGTATGTGTGGAGTCCAGTGTCGTTCGGTTCATTAAATATGGAGTTGCTCACTGGGTCGTGAGTCCTATATTAGAGACTGTGGGGAAGATCCCTGCTTCCTGAAAAGCTTGACAAGAATGGATCCTCTTAAACTGTGATCTGATTGTTTCTTGATTTCTCTTGGCCTGAGGAGGACCTGAGGCCCCTTTTTAAAGCTAATGGTGGAAGGAAAAGGTTAGCACTTGTTTTGCGGACTGTTGGTATTTCATAACTTGGGGGGCAGGATTTGCCTGTGGTCAGTCCTCTCAGTCATTTAATATTGAGCCTTATTTGTGTGAAGCAGTTATGGTCAGATTTGGTGCATTAGTCTCCTTTCCTTTGCTACCTGTTAGGAAAAACTGAAATTCAGTTCTGCTTCCCTTTATAGGATTTATGGAAATTGAGGGTGCTGTTTAATAGAGCAAAAATGTGGTGCGATTTTTGGAGAAAGATAAGAAACAGGGTTATGTTTAGAGGGATGTCCTTTCTGCTGTCCTTTGTTGAAGATCTTTTCTAACTTCCTTAGTCACTACTTGAAACCCAGTTCCTGTGCCCAGTTTACACTCCAGCTTTTACTATCTCTGGTATCTGCCACCAGCATATAGTCAGTGGGACCTGTGGCTGTAAATCTCAGGTCCTTCTGCCCCCCACCCCACCCCCACCTCAGTTGGTTGCTCTTGGCTGAGGGTAGCAGCATGGTGATAATATTTATTTCCTGCTGTTCCTCATTTCCCCATTTCACCAGTCTCATACCTCCTCTTCACTTGCATTCTGCTGGGCCAGATCTTACCTGGTCCAGGATTTTGGGAAGCTACTCTTGACCAACATACTATACTGCCAATTAAGCATTTTTAGGAGAAGTGATCCGAGTGTGAAAATGAGTGAGTGGTGGGATGCCTGGATTCTGTGCCCGTCTGTGACTTGCAGTGTGATCGAGGGATTACTTTTCTTGCTTATTCGTCACTCCCAAAGTTTTAAGCTCAGTTATCATCTACAAACAGAGAATCACTTGAACTCTTTGAAGCCTAGTGTTTGAGAACTATAAAGCAGGAGTCTAGTAATGTGTATGTATTCTGGCCCACTGTTGTCCTTATTCTGAATCCCGTTAGGTGGAAACCTGGGGTGCTAGTGATACAACCCTCTTTTATTTATTTATTTATTTTTCTATTTTTTTAGCTGAGCCATCCTGCTACCTGTTGGCAGCTCAGCGGCTGCTCAGCTCGGGCTGGACTCGAACCGCTGTTGCTCAGAGCTCAAACTCTTGAGCGAGCTCTTAACCAACTGAGCCACTCGGCCGGCCCCTACTACAACCCTCTTTTAAACTAGTAACTTCTAGGCTTTCACTGCTCAGCCCAGAGTGTGTGGTACCCAGTGCAGCACCATGGATGTTCTTAGACCTTGGTGGGATCAGTAGGACGTCGCCCCAGATATCATCTGGTACTCAGAAAATATCTTTATTTTGATTCCTGCCAATTTCAAACTTTAATTCCCCTAGGCAGTTTGTGTTCTGGCTTAGAACCCATTCAAGCTACATAGAACTATAGATGTCTCCATTGGAACACTTGAAATTTTTTATTTCAAGGAAGGTAGATTTGAGGGATAAAGGAAAAGAGGAACACTGATAGGCACCCTGCTGTTTGAAGCCAATTAGTAGTTTGCTTTGTGAGACTTCGCTTTGTGGGACATCTCTTCCTCTTTTCATAACTTCAATTTCTCTTTTGTCCACAATGGAAAGTAATGCTCATTCTGTTTCTTTAGGATATGGGAAACATTCTGTGGGTAAATGAGATGTGGACGAGTATGAGTTCTTTCATGAGCATCTTAATTAAGATAGCCCCTTTTGGATGGGAGTACAGTACTGAGTGGCTCTGATCAATGGGACTAATATGCTAGATCCTAAGGTCTTGACTTGTTGCTAGTTCCCAGCAGTGTGCATAGGGGCCAAAGAAGAGACCAGGAACTCCTTAACTCTTCTTCTCCATTGCTAAGTTTTTTCAGATTTATTCCTGAGTGCGATGTGGTCTCTCTTTTCTTTCTTCAGGTAGAATGGAAGAATCTCACTTCAATTCTAACCCATACTTCTGGCCTTCCATCCCCACAGTCTCAGGACAGGTAGGTGGGGTTTGTGTTTTTGCTCCTGCATTGTGTATTTTTTTCAACTCTATGAGTAGTAAGTTCTATTACTATGGAGACTGAAGCAAGATAAACCACATGCTTTTTCACTGGGTCCCCATCACTGAGAATTATATAGTGTTTCTGTCTTGGCTTCTCTCTCAAAGCCCAAAGATATTAGCTGCTCGTTCATGATCTCCAAGGAGGAGGACAGACAATGCGAAGTGCTTAGGGAGCAGACAAAACCAGACTCTCCCTGAAGAAGCCACTCCCCGCCCTCTTCCTTTACATTTATTTATTTATTTATTTATTATTGACATACGATGTTAGACTACTAGTTTCTGGTGTACATGATAGAGATTAGACATTTATATACGTTACGAAGTGAACACCATGATGAGTCTTGTGCCCATCTGGCGTCATACATAGTTATTACAATATTATTGACTATATTACCTATGCTGTACTCCACATCCCCATGACTATTTTTATAATTGTCAGTTTGTATTTGTTAGTCCCCTTCACCTTATTGGCCCATCCCCCCACCCTCTCCCATCTAGCGACCATCAGTTTGTTGCCTTCCTCTTCCATTTCTTTTAGATTGAGAACACAATGTTCATCAACAAGATGAAGGATCAACTGCTGCCAGAGAAGGGGTGTGGGCTGGCTCCACCCCACTACCCCACCTTGCTGACAGTGCCTGCCTCAGTGTCCCTGCCCTCGGGCATTAGTATGGACACAGAGTCCAAGTCAGACCAGCTGACCCCACATAGCCAGGCATCCGTTACCCAGAATATCACGGTGGTCCCTGTGCCGTCTACAGGACTGATGACTGCTGGTGAGCAACTCTGCTCTTCTCCAATCTGAGGTGTTGATCTTCCATGATCAGTACCCCAGGCTGGAGGGCTTCAGGGACATGGGGAGTGGGAAATGTGTTTGATTATTCAATCAAATTTTTATTAAGTGCCTACTGTATGCCTAGCAATGCACTAGGCATTGTGGGGGATACAAAGAAGTAGAAGATGCGGTCCCTGCCTTTGAGGAGGTGACATTCTTTCCTTCTCTGAATCAAGGAGTCTCCTGTTCTCAGAGGTGGAGAAGAGAAGGGAGTCAATCAAGGGGTAAATCTCACTGTTACCGGGGGTGGGGTGGGGACAGGGGTTAGGAGACCATTATTTTTCTACAGGGTTTGGGGTTTCCTATGTACTGTGGGCTGGGGGCGGTGGTGAGGGGTTAATTAGACAATGATCTGGGGGAAATTAAATAGGATTAGGATCAGGACTGGACAACATGACACCATCTGCGTTTTCTCCCAATCCTAGGTCCTGGTTTGGTAATCACGTCCCCCTCAGGCTCCCTTGTGACCACAGCCTCATCAGCTCAGACCTTCCCCATTTCGGCTCCCATGATTGTCTCAGCTCTTCCCCCTGGCTCACAAGCCCTGCAGGTGGTCCCTGACCTCTCCAAGAAGGTATCAACAGCCCTAACGGAGGAAGGAGGCGGAGGTGGTGGTGGAGGTGGCAATGTGGCTCCTAAGCCCCCACGGGGGCGAAAGAAGAAGCGGATGCTGGAATCAGGACTGCCCGAAATGAATGACCCTTATGTCCTGTCTCCTGAGGATGATGATGAACATCAAAAAGATGGAAAGACCTATAGGTATGAATCAGAGCTGGGGCAGGATGGGGTGATGATCCCTGTCTCAACTTGCCTACCTTGTCTGTGTCCTGCCCCTAATCAGGCTGTATGCTCTGCCAGCTTTCCACCTCAGATCCATGTGCATGCCAGGTGTTCTGTCGTGGGGCAGGAAGGTAGAACTTCTAGCACTTCTCTGGTGCCTCTTCCCCCAAGATACAGACCCATTTCACCCCTTCCCTTTTGGGGTCGTCAGCATTGACTGATTTTTGAGTAGCATAATACAGTTTCTTTCTTGTAATGAGGCTTTAGAGTGGGTTTGAGACTCCGTCTCCAGCTCCTTTTTGCTTTCTACATTTTCCATTCCTGTTTTTCCAAGAAACCTTTCTGGTAAGCCCCTCACCAGTGTGCTATCCACTGGTTCTTGGACCATATTTGAGCATTGATCCTGCCTGACCCTGCATGGTTGGGATGATGGGAGGGGTCTATATAAAAAGGTGGGAGGAATAGATTGCCTCCCTTCCCCTGCCCTGGAACATAATGCTTATAAAATGACTGTTTGCTCACTTTCTAATTCATGGAAGTCATTTTGATTTTTCGCTGGCTTTAAGTGTCTATTGTCAAAAAGCATTATATCTGCATGTAGTACTCTACAAAAATAATTACATAAGTAAACTTGCCTGCCCTTTGAAAGTTGGGAATCTTTTAATCCCCTTGAGAGCTATCAAGGGCCCTAGTGGGTTTGGGGAGTTTGGTCCCAGTGTACAGAGTGGGGTGACCACTGTCACAGCTTTGACGCAGACAGGGGCAGATGTGCATGGCTGGGAGACTGGGTCTGTCCTTAGTGTACCGAGATGGGCAATGTTGTTCCCATTTTAGGAGCGAAGGGAACTGCGGCACAGGAAATGGACAGAGCCTTGGGCTCATGGATTCAGTTCCCGGCTCCACCACGAACTTGCTGTGTGACCCTGGGCAAGTCCTTTCCCCCTCTCTGGGCCTCAGTTTCCTCATCTGTAAAATGGGGAGAATTCTGTTTCTGCCTCCCGTTTGTTGGGAGTATATATCAGATAAGATTTGAAATGTTGGGAACTTCAAACCAGATAAGAAATAGTCATCATTTAGCATTTATTACTTGTATTGTGCACTTCTACTGTGGAGAGTAGCTACCACTACAGAGCATTTAAATCCCTCTTTGTTAGTGAAAATGAGGGGAGTGTTGCTATGCAGAAAGTATTGAGCACTTCAGAATTCCAGTTTATAATCCGAAAGTTCATTGCAGCTTTATTATTACAGGTGTACCCCACTTTATACAATAAAAGTGTTCCTGGAAAATGTTTACATCATATCATATTATAAAGGTACCTGACAAGTTTGATTCATTTAAAAGCATTCTTTTATACATCATTTCATAAAATGGAAATCCCTGTTAAATATATTTTATAGAAATCTCCAATTTCATGTATTTGCTTAAAGTGAGGTCATTGTGACATGGAGACGCCTATACAAAATTTACTGTGGTCGGAGTAGTGGGAGGGTTCTCTGACACCCTGTGGAGCCCTTCACATGGATCAGGGTCCTCTGATTCTGTCAAGGTTTTTTGGTTGGTTGGTTTTTTGGACCCACATTAAAGCTATCTCTGGACTTCCCAAACTGTGTATATAGGAAGAAATGTGAATACGCAATTGGAAGGAAGCCCTGATGGGATTTTGCACCCCCTCAATGTTTTCGGAATTCTTGACAGGTCCCATGCCCAGGTAACTAAAGAGAACTCTGAAATTTAAGGGCGACTAATTATATTCTAGGTGGATGGAATTTCTTCAGAAACTCAGAACTCTGGAGTTCCAGAGGAATCTTTTTAATCACAAAGAATCCCTCTTTCGATGCATGTGTGGGTTAACCACATCCATTCCTGTAGCCAGTGGCATTTGACTGCGTATTGCGGGAATTAGGTCCTGTTACTCTGGGCGTCAACTTATTTCTAGCTCTTCGTTCCCATCTGTAAAATGGGAAGATCAATCGTGGCCCTCATCTATCTTGTGGAAATGTTTTGAGGGAAAAATCAGAGTATTTGAAATTATTTTTGAGCATCTCAGGAAAAAATGGGATAATTCAAAGTGGTTATTGTAAGCAAGGCTATTGCATTGCATGCCTCCAAAGGGGCACCGTTCTTTTGTTGGATGTGAATGGTACCCCCTGGAGTTGTGTACTCAGTGATATGGGGTGCTGGCTTTTCTATCCCCTGCCAACTGCCACAACTCTCCTAAATCAGATTTCTTTCTGACCACTTAACACCTTGTATTAAAAGACTTATACTCTTTTATTTGGCTTCATAGGATTTCAGAGGTAGAAATACTTCAATGGTCTCCCAAGGCAGTCCCTTCTCTATAGTTTTAGTCTTCTAAACATTCCTGGCAGATGATTGCCTAGCTTCTCTTTGAATATCTCTAATGTGAAAAATCTTAAATTAGGCTAGAACGAGTCGGCAAACTGCGGCTTGCCTGCATGTGGCTCACGAGCCACAGTTTGCCGACCCCTGGGCTACAATCATGGCTTTGTAGTAAATAACTGCCCTTTGGCCAATTACTTAACCTTTCTGAGCCTTTGTATTCCTTTCTGTAAAATAGGGATAATACTTGCCAGATTGTTGTGAAGGGTGAAAACAATGTATTTAAAGAGCCTGATCCTGGTGCTTGACAGGCAGTATCAGGCGCAACAACAAATGGCAATTACTATTATTATCATTATTATCATAATCATTGTACCTAGTACCTTTTGAGACCAGCTTGTTTTGTTGCCGTCTACTATTGATGAATATAAGTTTTGCACATCTTTCCTAGTTGAAAACTTTAATGAAGAGGGTTATTGTCTCTTTATAATTAATTTCATATTAAGGGTACAGTTGTCTGTTCAACACTCACAAACTAAATGAGATTTTGTTTGAGTTAAAGTGAATGTGGTGTTGCACCTATCTGAGAAATTTTAGAAGGGAAATTATTTTGTAACTTCAGTACAGTTCCTGTCCAAGTGACAATGTGTCAAGTTTCTAATCTCAGTCTTAGTGAAACATAGTAGCATGAGCTCATTCATGAGCACTAGTGCTGTTAATTAACATTAATGCAATTTTATTATTAGAGAACACTTGGCTTACTTTGACTGCCCTGGGTGTTTGCTGGCCCTTTTCTTGGGCCAGATATTTTATCTCTCCATTTTACAGACCAGAAAATTGAAGTTTAGATTGATGAGCAAGCCTGTAACTGAACCCTGAATAGAGCCCAGGTGTCTAGACTTCCACTGGCTGTCTTCCATTGGCTGTGTCCTTTGGACTGTGCTACCTATAAACAGAACCTCCCTACCTCCCATACAGTGGTTGGGCATCCAATAGTCAGGGATTGGTAAACTGATAATTGGGTTTCCTTTAGAGTTATCAGGTAACTAGGGTAATAGAAATTGGCCTTAATGATTGGAATTTTAATAGAAGCATTAATATAGGGACCACACCCCCAACTAACAGTGATATATCTTTTTCTCTGAGGAACTCAGAGTTCTTTGTAGTCTTGATCTGTTATTCTCTAAAAATTCTCTGAGAACATAAAAAAGAAGAAATTATCCCCTGTAACATCCCAGGTCCCTTTTAACAGAGATAAGTTGGGAGTACCCAAAGAAGAGGGACTTGCCCCAGTTACTTGGCTTCCACATTGTGTGCTGTGGTGACTTATTTAGGAATGCTAGGGTTCTAGTTCACATATATATAGATAGCTTTTACCCAGTAAAGTCTGAATAGTTATGGCTTGTCCTGCTCAGAGGCCTCCTTATTTGATATTGTCAGGCAGTGTCAGAGCAGGAAGAATTACCAACTCAGTTGATGAGTGAAAGTGTATTCAGATGCCATTGATGTCACCCAAAGTGCTGACATTGGCTCCATGTGTGAGGAAAGAGGAAAGGTTTAGCACGGAAGCTCAGTGTTTTGCAGATCTTATTTTCCCAAATATCTGAGGGGTATAACCCACTCCCAGCATTTACCTTGGCTCATTGCAAAAGTAGTTCTCATTTGATTGCCAAGGGGTTGGGGTTGGGGGCGGCTGGTGAAACATCAGATACAGGGTGGAGGCCAAACATACATGGTTTGGAAAAGCCTCTCCAAATACTGTAATTCTGATACTTCCCCACCCCCATTCCTTTAGGAATCCCTGGCAAAAAGGAAGTAAGTGGAAATCTGAGAGAAGGCAAATTGCCTGAGGTGACAGGAGAGAAGTCCTTCTGGGTAATCTAGTCAGTTTGTCCTCATTCTCTCGGGAGCTTGAGGAATACCTGAGGGATTCACATAGGAAATTGGGAAAAGGAGTTCTTTAAAAGTTTGAAATTAAGGTATAGGCAGAAGGAAGACAGAAGGTAGCTGATAATCCTGGCCCAGAGAAATTCACATCAGTCCAGAGCCCAAAATATTTTCCTGTCTTACCTGGTTGAATTCTTCGTTTTTGTACACACTTAGGGACTTCAGTTATTCAGCAAACATGTAATGAGTATATTGTGCTGGTCTGTGTTAGAAGCTTCAGCTATAAAGATAAATAAAACAGAGCTCCTCCCCCCACAGGCCTTACAGTGTAGTTGGAACAGGAGAGAGAGCAGAGAGGTTGGCTTCTTTGGAAGTGGAGGGGAGGGTTCAGCAGTGCCCGTTTGGTGGAAAGGGTTCTAACCACTGCCCTCGCTTGGCCCAGGTGCCGGATGTGCTCACTGACATTCTACTCAAAGTCGGAGATGCAGATCCACTCCAAGTCACACACCGAGACCAAGCCCCACAAGTGCCCACATTGTTCCAAGACCTTCGCCAACAGCTCCTACCTGGCCCAGCACATCCGTATCCACTCAGGGGCCAAGCCCTACAGTTGTAACTTCTGTGAGAAATCCTTCCGCCAGCTCTCTCATCTCCAGCAGCACACCCGGTAAGGCTGCTCTTGGTTTTACCCTACTACCTGGCCGCAAACCCCTCACCCCAAGGCCATGTCGCCTGCGCCTACTCTTCTTTCCACATGTTTTCTTTTTTGACTTTGCCCTTGGGAGCCTCAAGTCTCTCCCGTTACTGTGTATGAAAAATAAACTATGCCCTAGTACTTTGGGGGGGCCTGGAAAATTGTGATCTCCAATCCCAAAGTCTGGAACGATTTTTGTGGTTTCTCTCTGTGTCTGTGTTTGGAAATCTTCTGCAGAGCAGGCCCTGCTTTTACTATATGCTTCAGTTCAGAGCCAAGGTGTGCATTCAACTTCAGGTCCATGGGGAACAGGCGGTATTGGTCTTTGTTCAAATTACTGTTTGGAAGCAGGGTATCTGTGGTGAGTGTGTAACCTTAGAGCCAAGCGGAGGGTTGACAAGGCTGAAATTTTTAAGGTTACCAGGAGCCAGGGGTTGCAGCTCTTCATCATCTCACTGCCATTCTAGCCACCGACTTAAGATCAGCAACAACCTAGATCTCGGTGTCCTTTATTAGCCTATCCAGGCTGGAGTATGTTTGGGAGGAGGGAGGAGGGGGTGCTCTCATCCGTCAAGCAACATCATTTCACCCAGCAGAGAGCTGAGCCCGAGGTGTCGAACTGCTTCCTCCTCCCCCCTTCCCTCCTCTCCTCTCCGGCAGGATCCACTCCAAGATGCATACGGAGACCATCAAGCCCCACAAGTGCCCGCACTGCTCCAAGACCTTCGCCAACACCTCCTACCTGGCCCAGCACCTCCGTATCCACTCGGGGGCCAAGCCCTACAACTGTTCCTACTGCCAGAAGGCCTTCCGCCAGCTCTCCCACCTCCAGCAGCACACACGGTAAGGGAGAGTGGCGGGCTACTGCCCCCGCCCCGCTGGCATGCCCTCCCCACCCCCGCCCCGGACACACACAACAGCCCGCATGCGGGGGGCGGGGGAGAGACCTGGCTGGAGGAGAGACCTGGCTGGAGGAGAACACGGCTGGCATCTGCAAGAAAGAACAAATGACAGCACTGGAGAAACAAGTGGATACTCAGAGAGTCTTTCTGGGGCAAAAGCTACATTGGGGAGATGCAATGACTGTGATATTATTCCTGGATGCATGGGAGGAAGAGACTTAACTGGAACAGAGACAACTTTTTTCCCCCTCATTTTCCTCCCTGAAAACACCCACGCACACATCTTGCAAGATTTTCTCCTGGATGCCAAAGCAGGGGCATTTGATGGAAGAAGATGATACCTTTAGCCCTTAGGGCACCACTTATGAACTGGAGATATAATCAGACTTTAGCTGGGTATCAGCCTGGTGATACCTACAGCAACAAGCAAGACTCCAAAGGATGCCAGGAGTAGAGAACAAAACCAGATGTCCTAAATCGTCGCAGAGAACCAGCAAACAAAATTAAAAAGCTCATACTTCGTAAGGATGCTCACTGTTTGTGCCATGAATCTGGAGTGACTGGAGGAAGTGAACCTGCTAACTAGAAGAGTTGATGTCCCTCCGTGATATCTCAAGTTGAACTGGAGTCCAGACTCTTACTGGCCATGGGCCTCCTCACTCTGCTGCTTCTGGATGTGGTGATCCTCCTTAAAGGGGTCAGACATTGTGCTTTGAAGAGGAGGAGTCGGGCTTTCCTTAGAAGGAGACATGTCCTGTGATGTTTTCAAGGTTTTATACATGAGGTCCAGAAAAGCACCCGGTCACAAAGATGATTCTCAAGTCCTGATGAGGAGCAGGCGTCCGCGAACCGTCAGTCCTTGGCTCATCTCAGTGGAGGGCCCTGCAGTGTTTGGAAAAGAGGTCAAATTGACACTAACCTAGGCATTTCCTGCCATTAAGGGGCTGCACTGGGAAAAGCCCCAAGGAGTTTCCATAAATGTTCATATCACTGCTACTTTCCACAATTAGCATAACTGTACTTTTCTTTGACACCAGAACTTTCTCTGGGAGTGGTTTTCAAGGCTGAGGGGATGGTTTCTGGCTGTATGGTGGGGGCCAAGGAAGAAATGTTATATGTTTCTTTTTCTTGACCATCGTGTTTACCTTCTGTTTCTGAGCAGTCATCAGGGACAGTTACTATAGGAGCTGACTTATATACCAAACTGTAGTCTGCTTGTCCCTTGGCTGCTGAGCTACCAGTCCTTTTTCCCCCAGCGGAGAGGAGCCCAGCTTGAGCTGAGTGATGCAGGAAGTGAGCAGAAATCAGGCACTACAGCCTGATCTGTGTCAAAGAGGAGCTGAGGCCTCCTGGAGACCCATCTCATACTCCCACTCCTGTGGGAGGGCAGGAGTGGCCTTGAGGAGGCTTGTTGAGCCAATCCCCAAGTGTCCATGCTGACATCTTTCCCTTTCTTGTTTTCTCATCCTGTGCAGAATCCACACCGGTGATAGACCATACAAATGTGCACACCCAGGCTGTGAGAAAGCCTTCACACAGCTCTCCAATCTGCAGGTAAATGTTCCTTGGTCCACGTGAGGCATTGACTCTAAGATGTGGGGTCAAAGTGCCATTTGACTAGCACAATAATTCTCAAAATTTTTCAGGGCCCCTCACACTCTAAATAATTATTGAGGGGCTGGCCGAGTGGTGCGTTGGTTAGGAGTTGGCTTGGGACGCCAGCTGTGAGCAGCAGGGCACTGGTTCGGATCCCACATGAGGGCCAGTGATGCTGCGCCCTCTACAGCTAAGATGGTGAACAACAGCTCAACCTGGGGCTGGGCTGCCGTGAGTCGCTGGCAGTGGCGTAGGCTGCAGCCCCTGCTGCAGTGGGCTGCCATGAGCTACTGTGAGTGGCCAGCAGCCAGCGTGAGCTTTCGTGAGCTGCCATGAGCCGACGTGAGCAGCCGTCAAATGGCCGACGAGCAACTGCCTCAGCCAGGAAGAGCACAATGATAATACCAACATGGGCCAGTGAAGCGACGTCTTCCACAACTAGACTGAAGAACAAAAAGACAGCAACTTGTCTGTTCCCCTTCCCAGATTTCCCAATGCTGCTCCCTTCCCCAATTCCCCAATAAAATCTTAAAAAAAAAAAAAAAATTATTGAGGAACCTAAAGAGCTTTTGTTGATGTGGGTAATATCTATCTACATAGATATTATGAAACTAAAAAACTGGAAAGATATTTAGTAATTTGTTTAAAAATAAACCCATTGTGTGTTAATGCAAATAACATTTTCAAATACCCCTCCCCAAAAAAATTTAATGAGAAGAGGGGTGTTGTTTTACATTTTTGCACATTTATTTAGTGTATGGCTTCCCAGAAGATGGCTAGATTCTCTTGTCTGTTGCGTTGTCTTTTGCAATATTATACATCGTGGAGTCTCTGTACAAAGAGTGAAAAGAGAGACATTGTCTTATAATGATGATGATGATGAAGATGAAGAAAATAGTTTTGACCTTGGGGCTCCCTGAAAAGGTCTTAGTATTCCCTGGCAATCCCCATGCCTCACTTTGAGAACCACTGGACTGGTGGGACCAGGCATAGCCATCATTCTAACTTTCAGGATCCCAGTATGTGCTGCATGAGGTATGCTTCTTCCCTTAGCCTGTGACTCCTGAAGTTTCATTTGAAGCAGTTTCTACTTTCTTCAGATGGAAAGAACCTAGGAGGCCTGACACTCATCTCAGGGCTTTCCATTAAGGTCAAGGAGGCAGGAGGGAAGAGTCCAATGCACTTATTTTGATTTCTCCCAATTTTCTCAGTCCCACAGACGGCAGCACAACAAAGATAAACCCTTCAAGTGCCACAACTGTCATCGGGCGTATACAGACGCAGCCTCACTAGAGGTGCACCTATCTACGCACACGGTGAAGCACGCCAAGGTGTACACCTGCACTATCTGTAGTCGGGCATATACGTCGGTGAGTGCTCACTTCCTCTCCTCCCCTTCCCTCCCTTTCCCTCCCCTCCCCTGTTCCCCATAGGATTGTAGGACTACAGTCCACTTCCCCTATGTTTCTGGATAAAGATCTGTTGCAGTGAATCTGCTGCCTCCCTAGCTTCAACTTACAGCATCAGAAAGGAGAACAGAAATTAAATAGACGCAAAGCTGAGGAATTTATGGGGTGCATGATCCCTTAAGCCTACGGAGATTGCTAAGCAATGATTCTTCATTTTGAGGATAAGGCAAAATAAAGTAACTTGAAAGTTTGGGAGCAAAAAGATTTCAGTTAGACATTTTCCGGTAGACTCCAGAAAAAGGTTATCAAGTTGTTCCATTCAAAGATCTTTGAAAAAAGGACAACTTTCCCTGTGCCAATTGAATGCCCATGGTGACTCAGCTCCTTTCTGTCCAACAGTGAGCCCTGAAAGTGGCTCATGGGGAAAACTTGCCCATGGCTCCAGAATATCTCTGTATAAGTATTGCTCTTAAAGCATAGAGCCAAGGATGCTAGTTATAGGTAACCTTTCCTTCTCTTTCCTCCCTCAACTCCTTTTTATCATCTCCCTCAGGAAACCTACCTTATGAAACATATGCGCAAACACAACCCTCCCGATCTCCAGCAACAAGTACAGGCAGCGGCGGCGGCAGCAGCAGTGGCCCAGGCCCAAGCTCAAGCTCAAGCTCAAGCCCAGGCTCAAGCCCAAGCCCAAGCCCAGGCCCAGGCCCAGGCCCAAGCCCAGGCTTCCCAGGCATCACAGCAGCAGCAGCAGCAGCAGCAGCAGCAGCAGCCACAGCCACCACACTTCCAGTCCCCTGGGGCAGCCCCCCAGGGTGGGGGTGGTGGGGACAGTAACCCCAACCCTCCACCCCAGTGTTCCTTTGACCTGACCCCCTATTAGATAGTGGAGCATCATAAGGACATCTGCCTCACTGTCACCACCAGCACCATCCAGGTGGAGCACCTGGCCAGCTCGTAGAAACCTGTGCTGCCACCCACTGGGAAGAGGGGAAAGAAGTTCTGGTCCCCTCTTTCTCCAACTCCTCTTGGTGGGAAAAGTCCTCTTCTTCCTTGACAGGCCTTGTCTCCATCTCCTTGGGCCTCAGGCACGGCCTTCCTTCACAGGATACCATCCTTATTTTCAACTCTTCAAAAGGAACATCAGCCCTCCTGATTGGCAAAGGAATACTGAGCTGGTAGTATAATCCAGCAGCCTCCCCTCCCAAGCATAGCTTTTAAAAATTGGGGGTTGGTGCTCAAGGGAGGGATTTGCTATGACCTCATAGAAACTTTTCCAGTGTGGGCACTTAACTCTCTCCTTACCCTCATAATCCTCAAAGTTCAGGCTGATAGAAGACGAGAGGCTGGCCCTCCCAGATACCAGAGAGAAGGGAGCCCTAAATGCAACCAGCCTCCTGTTCTGTTCTTGCCTGCAAAAGAACAGGTTTCTCACGTGCCCCGATCCCTGGGAGCTGTTTCCTTCCCCTCGTGGTCTCACTTCAGTTCTGACGTAATGCTGGAGGAAGGAGATCTGGGTGGGGGTTAAACCCCCTTTATTTGTAAAAGCATGGGCTGAGATGTGGTCCCCAAGGGGCCAGTGATCCCCAAAATGGTCAAGGGTTGCTTAGAAGTGTGGGTTACTGTTTTCCTTGGAGCCTCTCCTCTTCTCTGCCAACCAAGGCCCTGTACTCTCTGTCTCCCTATCCCCAAATCTAAGGAGCTGTGGGAGCTTTGTTTTCTTGATAAAATCCCAAAACAAGGGGTGTTGCAGAGAAGGGAGAGTTCAGGGCAAACACAAGGACTGGACTTAGCTCCCTAGGTGCCACGGTCAGTTGCCGGACACGGATTTATATATAAATATATATATATATATATATAAATATATATATACCCACTCATCACGACCATCTTTGTTGTAACCATTTCTGCGTTTATAAATGCATTATCTCTGAGAATTTTCATATTTGATGTTTTATTTTGTCCTTTTTTTTCCCCCACCCTGTCTTCTGGCCAATGACATTTTTATTTACTTTTGTCTCCCCCCGCCCCCCTCCAAATCATGGCAGATTTCAGAGAAAAGAGAAAATGAAAAAAAAAAGTCAGGAAACCAGTTGTTATAAAGCAATTTAAAATGAAGAAAAAACTTATGTACAAACCAAGGGGTGTTTTTAGAACCTTGTATAGAAATAAATTCGTGTAAAAGGATCAGAGGCAGTGGAGCTACTGATGTGAGTGAGCATGGGGAAAAGCTATTTGGGGACATGTTCAAGGCCAGTACTAAGGATTTACACTAGAGAGTGTATATGTGAAGAATGAATGTTGTGTGATGAGATTGTGTGTGTATCCCCAGCCATAGAAGGGTACAGCTTTGATATTTCTGAAGTGAAATTTTTTTTTTTTAGCTGAGCCATCGTGCCACCTGTTGGCAACTCAGCTCAGGCCAGGCATCGAACCGCTGTTGCTCAGAGCTCGCACTCTTGCGCAAGCTCTTAACCAGCTGAGCTATTCGGCTGGCCCTGAAGTGAAATCTTGATGAGGGTTTCTACATACAAATCTTGTCATGAAGACTGCATTGTCTAAATATGAGAGAGCAAGGTTTCAGTCGTATGTTAAAACTGCTTAGCTCCTTATCAAAGAAATGCAAGCATAGCCTCTTGAAAGGCCCTACAGCCCTGCCTGAGCACTAGTGGGCTCAGTGCTAATTCCAGTTGGCATGTGTGTACATACATATATTCATTATCCTGTGGCACTTCAAACCAGAGGTTTCCAGTGGTGGAAACCATAGCCAGGTTGAAGAACACTGCTGAATAGTGCTGAGGAGTAGAGCATGGTAAAAAAACCTGGACATCAGCCCTGGCTCTACTATCAACCAGTGTTGGCCAAGATGCTTCTTCAGCTGTTAAATGAAGGGATTGGGCTAGATCACCTCCAAGATTCCTTTTTGAGAATTAAAACATCTTTAAACAGAAAAAGTGACAAAGCTCTCATGTCTGATAACATGGCTGTCCTCTGGTACTGCTGGGCATCGATGTCCTTTACCCAGTAGAGTATGGATAGTCAATGAAATAATGCCCACTTAATTTAGAGCTCATTCTGTTGTGTGGGTATCCAAGATAGTCTCCACCTGTGGTGTGACACCAATGAATGGATTACATGACCAAATAGGCCAATGTGGGTTAACTTCCTGAATACTGCTCTTTCCCTGCCCCGCCCCCCAACTGTTGAAAAGACCCTGACAGCCCTACCTTCATCCCAGGTATAAGAACCAGAATACTTTTTTTAAGGATATGCTCACTCATAGCAACAACCCTATAAAATAGGTTCTGTTATTCTCATTTTACAGAGAAGGAAATAGGCACAGAGCTTAAATTACCCAGGGGCATGATACTTAAAATGAAGTCTTGTAGATTCTATTGTTGTATCTTACCACCTGCTCAGTAGTAAACTTGGGGTTTCAACGTATAATAACCCTTCACATATTTGGTCTAAATTATGTGGCTGTAAGTCTGTTTCATTAAAAAGCTACCTTGTGACATAGATAATTTTTATCAAGAATGTGTGAGGGGTGACATTGATCTCCAAAACACTCAACACCACTTTTAGGTTATGGTCTTTGAACTGTTTCCCTAGTGTGGTGGTAGCCCGTCATGCACTTGATTGCTTTCCATCATGATGAAAAGCAGTTTTCATTGTACTGCAGCTGACTAGGGTGATAGCTGGCATCTCACTGGCCCAGTTGTGACAGATCCATGACCCATTTCTTTCAGTCAGGGTGCTAGTTAACATCATGTATAAACTCAAAAAGGGAGACAGAAACAAGAGGGCAAGGCCAGGAATACTATGTCATTTTTATATGTGAGTGTATTCGAGTGTAGGACAGGACTCAACAAAAATAATTATAGCTTTATTGTGTGAGCAGTTCTTTGTACTTATAAACAGAATTTATAAGTAATAACCTTTCTCCGTGTTAAAAAGCTATCTTAGGGAGTTGGGTGTTCGTGTGCGTGAACAGAAATGCCAAGGGTTTAAATCTCAACACGCAATTAGCCTCCGCAACTTCATTATAAGAAAGTCTTGATTCAACCAGGACCTGCTCTCGTCATCAGATTCATATTCTGCAAAAGGAAAGGTTCCCCTGTTGCTGAAAAGGGGGTGTTTATGCAATACAATCCTAAAGAGACAAGGTGTTTTGGGGTTTTTTACTTCGTTACCGCACATTCCCGTTTTGGAGGGAAAAAAAAGTTTGATACAGAATGCAAAATGGCGACCTCCAGTGACGTCATGCCTGCTATGGTCGGTCGCGCATGAGGGCTGAATAAGGGCGGAAGCGGGCTCAAGCCGCTTCAAGGTGCCTCAGTACGGGCGGTCCTGGCTACTTACGCAACCGGACAAGTGTCAACATCGGGCGGATGTGTCCCAGCTGATAATTTACTAAGGGCGGAAGTTCTCCTTTTAAGGGCGGAAAGGCCCTAACCGAAGAATAATAGCTTCAGCACCTATCGTGTTTCAGTTACTTCCGGGGCGGATCGGAAGTTGCTTTGTTTTGCTTCAAGATGGCTGCGGGGATGTATTTGGAACATTATCTGGACAGTAAGAGCAGGCTGGAGGAGGGGGTCAGGGGTCAACAGAGTGGTGGCGGGGATCAGGGCTGAAGAGATCTATGGCCCCGAAGTCCCGGTGGTTAGAAGGTCACACTTGTGAAGGGGTTTCGGGAGAGAAAATATTGGAGGGTGTGAAGAAAGAGGGGGCGGGCAGCGGGGTCTAGGCCTCGCTTTGGGGTGTAGATGAGGGAGGGGCTGCGCGGTGGGGCTGAGGGATGTCTCTTGAAGGGCTAATGTGCATAGTCGGAAAGATTTTTGCTGTCCCCATCTTCAGGGTCTCCAGCCTGAGGGTATATTTTTTTTCTCAAAATCGTTCAGAATCGGTCGTTTTAGTATATCACCCACTGCCATTTGGAGCAGCGACAAAGACCTCGCGGCTCCTCCGCTAAGTTCTTCCTGAGAAGTGGCTTCTCCTGGGTATGGGGGTTGTGAGTGACCACTGTCAGATGATGAACTGGAAGCTTCTCTTCTTGGAGTAAAGATCCGATTCCCATCAAATGGAAATCGTGTTGTGTTTATGCCATTTATGTAACCTACCCCTTCACAAAGTATGTCACCCTATGCGCTTACATTTGTCTTCGTGTTGGGAGTCATTCATTCATTCACTCATTTATTGAAGGCTTGTTATGAGTCAGACATAATGGCAGGTGCTGGGGATATACAAAAATGAGTAAGACGTAGCCCCTGCCCGCAAGTGCTCATAGTCTAGTAGGAAACAGATTCTGCTAGTAAGTATAAAACAGTGTGACAAGTGAAATACTAGAGATACATTGAAAGGACACTTGATAACACTGGAGAAAGAGAGACTAATTACCTGGGGATGGAGGTAAAGCTTTACAGAGGATGTGATGTTTGAACAGAGTCTTGAAGGTTGAGTCTTAATGGGTTTGTGGCAACGTCAGGGAAAACTGAGGTCAGAGTGTTTGATATATAGGACTCTAAGGTGGAAGACTGGGAAGTGACACTGGAGAAAGAGGCTGGGGCTAGATTGTGCGAGGCCTTTTAAAGCCATGCTAAGAAGCTTGCACTTTAAATAGTGAGGAACCAACAGATTTTTAAAATAGAGTGATTTTTATAAAGGAAAATAACTGATGTATGTATGATAAACTGGAGCATGACATTGGTAGTAGGGAGATCAATTAGTGATAACAATCCGGGTCAGAGATGAGGATCTGATCTCAGGGAGTGACAGGAGTATTTAGGAGTTAAATATGACAGGACTGATTGATGACTCAGTGGTTGAGAGAGAAGGAAGGATCTAAGGTGACTTTTTGATTTCCTGCTTGGGATGTGAGGTAGACAGTATATCATGAACATGATAGGAAATTCAGGAGTAATAGCAATATATTTAATTTAGACTTAAGCATAGGAATGGTAATTATATCCATGAGAATGAATGAGATCAAGATCATTCATGGAAAAACAAATGAGAAATTGAGAGGATTAAAGTGTAATCTCAAGAAAACATTAACATTTAAGGGACAGGCTATGGAAATGTCAATGTTGGAATTACCAGTAAGTATATGATGAGATTTGGATTCCTAAGAGGAAGAAAGTTACTCCAAGGAGAAAAGATGTTTCAGACATATATGTTAGAATAGGACTAATAGATCACTTGCTTTAGTAAGTCATTGCTGACTTAAAGTCATCTCAGTAAACTGGTGGTGGCAGACCTGAGGTCATAGATTAAAGCAGTGGAGGGTTTTAAAAGTTTGAAGTGGAGTCATGCAAAAAAATTTTTCTTTTATGGGAGAGACTTAAGTATTCTTGCATTTATTCAAATATTTATTGAGGCCCCTCTATGCAAGTCAAAGGTCTAAACACTAGGGAAACAGAGAAGACAGGTATGTCTAGCCCTTCTGGAGAGTTGGGGAGACAGATACCAAAAAAACCTGACTAATTATACAATTAATTAGTTAATTATAATTGTATAAGTGCCAAGAAGGGTAGAGATAGAATAACTTGACAGCATAATCCACGGCACATGTTGGAGTCTAGGGAAGTCAAGGTTGAGCTGAGCTTTGAAGAATGAATGGGAATATTTAGTAGGCCAAGAGGTATGGTGGAAGTGGGATCAGGAAGACTGGGCGGTGCATTCCAGGCAGAGAGAGCAGCATGTGGAAAGCCAAATGGCAGGAAGAATGCTGGTAAGTTCCAGGTACTTAGAAGGCCAGTACGATCTAAGCAGAGAGAGCACAAAGGGGGACCGACATGAGTGAAGGCTGGTGTGAGGTAAGCAAGGGCCAGAAGGTGCCGGATAGAACTAGGAATAGTGCTGTAGAAAGTTACTGGAGGATTATAAGCAGGAGAGCGGCTTGATCAGATTTTCATTTTTTAAAAGAACATTCTGGCTACTATACAGAGAGCAGACTGTGTTTGTGTGTGTTGAGTGGCGGAGGACACCAGGAGAGTATTTGTGAGCTGAGGGCAAGAAGCTTGGAAACAGAGATTGCAAATGAAGAGAAAGGGCTCATTAATAGAGTAGGGTCACTGAAGGGAGAAAAGGTGGAAAAGCTGTGCAGAGATGGAGAGGTTAGTTATGGGGAGGCAGACACAGCGTCTTCTGAGAAAGGAATGATGAGTGCCATCACAGATACATTCAAGAGTTCAAAGGAGGGAAAACTGAGTCCTGTTTCAGACCTGTACTTTGAAAGCAGCCATAAGGCCTATGAAGTCTAGTGACTCTGTTGCTCCTCTTCTCCCTAGGTATCGAAAACCTCCCTTTTGAACTACAGAGAAACTTTCAGCTCATGAGGGACCTGGACCAAAGAACAGAGGGTACGTACCATACAGAGTAAGGAGTCCATGTGTATACTGAGTGTGTGTGATCATTTCTTTTTCTGTTCAGTGGTAACATATCATTCAGTCTGATCTGGAGGACTGTGGCTTCTCTCTCTCGCTTTTTTACTCTCTTGCATTTCTTAAAAGGAGAGTGATGTTCTGCATTTGTATATCAGCTTTTCCATAACAAATGGATTATTGGGACAATGCATCAAGAATTCAGAGATGCTATGTTCTTTATAGCTTGCTCAAGAAGAATTCAATAAACCACAGTCAACTCTAGAATCATTTCAGTTCTCCACGTTCGGTATATTTATAGAAAGGCTAGAATCTTTCTGCTCTACTGGATTGTTAATTTTACTGTCACAAAATTCAGTGTGGCTTTGGATTGCAACTCATGTTATCAGATAGGAGCTTTGCTGTATGAGACGTTCTTAAAGACAGAGAAAGAAAAAAAGAAGAAAAAATAGCAATTGACATCAGGATCTCTACACTGTATTCAACCTTACAGAAGCACTAGACACCAGCTGTGGCCTTGGACACTGAGCAAGTTTGGCTGCATTGAGGTATTCACTTGGAGCCTGAGGCTATACCTTGAGGTTGGTCTCCTCAAGGTCAAAGATGTCTGTTGGAGCTATCCCCCATACCTGCTGAAGGATATATAGGTCTTGTTTTCCATCCTTATGTAGCCATGCTCAAGGATGTAACAAGCTGGTGTTAGAATACCTAAAACGGGCCAGCCTGAGTGGCTCAGTTGGTTAAGAGTGCGAGCTCTGAGCAACAGGGTCGCCGGTTCGATTCCCACATGGGCCAATGAGCTGCGCCCGAGCTGAGCTGCCAACGGGGCAGGATGGCTCAGCTCGTGAGAGCACATGCTCCTAACAACAAGGTTGCCGGTTCAACTCCCGCATGGGATGATGGGCTATGCCCACCACAAGTAAGATTGAACACGGCACCTTGAGCTGAGTGGCCTCAAACTGGACTTGGAGCTGAGCTAGCTGCGGCCTCCACAACTAAGGTTGAAGGACAACAACTTGACTGTTCCCCTTCCCCAATTCCCCAATAAAAAATCTTTTAAAAGAATACCTAAAAATGTGGTTTAAGTTACTCTGGGTAAGTTTACTCATGAAAAAGTGAACATCATCTAAAATCCTGGACGTAGGTCCCTGAGAACTGCCTGCCAAATTCTGAGAACCAGCCTGCTTTCTTCATAATACAGTTCCAACTCTTGAGTTGATGCACAGAAAGACCAGTTGGAGATCATTGAACTACTTTCTTTTTCAGCTTCCTCCAAAGGCCTCAAACAAATGGGGCATAAGTATAGACTGTGCACTTCCTATTACACGTTACTGCACAATGTTATAGTCATGTTTCTGTTTCTTTCTATTGACTTTTTTTTTATGAGCCCTATCAAATATTGGGCAGTAGACATCTGTAGTTTCAGTGTCTTGGGACATCACTTGCCTTCCAATATTAAAATCTTTGGAGCAATATTTAAGATAACAAACAGAAAAAAAGTGAGGGGAAATATTAGCAAGTTGTAAATGATGAGCAAAATAGGGTGGGCAGTAAGTAGAACTGTTACATTAATGAGCTAGCGCCTCATTTTAAATGGATGCACAGACTAGAAGCCAGCAGCAGTGGATGACCCAGCCTGGTGTACAGCACACAGAACTGTTGTGGGATATTTTTAAGACAAGAAACTAGGCGGTTTTTGAGATAGAATTCATGGTTCAAGAAGCAGCAGCAAGCCCTGCAAAGAAGCATCTTCAGACATCAACAAAAATATACTTTGTACTAGTGCAGTGTGCAAAGGATCCCTCATTATGTTTCAATAATTTGTTTCAACTCTGATAGCAATGTTTTCAGCACTTGAAGTCACCCTTAAACAAATATTGCCAGTATGTTGTATTACTTGAGTATGTGGCACAGTACCTATGAACTTCCAGTACATTTTACTTCGAAGGTTACCATGGTCAATGGAAAAGGTCCAAGGAACAAGAGGAAGAAGTGTGTGTCACCTACCACTCAGGTCATTGTGACCAGGCCTCTCTCTGTTGTAGACCTGAAGGCTGAAATTGACAAGTTGGCCACTGAATATATGAGTAGCGCCCGCAACCTGAGCTCCGAGGAAAAATTGGCTCTTCTCAAACAGATCCAGGAAGCCTATGGCAAATGCAAGGAATTTGGTGACGACAAGGTGCAGCTTGCCATGCAGACCTATGAGATGGTATGGCCCTGTTCATGGCTCCCCGCTTAACTCCCGTCTATTCCTTGGGGTCCTAGACCCCTCTTTTAGCTGTATTGGAATCTGTTTTGGGTCTGGGAGATCCACAGAATCTGTCTTAGCCTATTTTCTTTTACTGGAACGAGCCTTGTATCTCTTCTTTCTCCTTGCTTCCCAACCAGGTGGACAAACACATTCGGCGACTGGACACAGACCTGGCTCGTTTTGAGGCTGACTTGAAGGAGAAACAGATTGAGTCAAGTGACTATGACAGCTCTTCCAGCAAAGGCAAAAAGAGTGAGGAGGGGGGTGGGCTGCGAGAGGCGGGGCGAGATGCAGAGGGAGAAGAAGCCAGCTCTTCAGCTGTGAGTGAGGGGCACCACGTCGGAAAGAAGGGGAAGAAGGAGGGCTTAACCCATCTTTCTGTCTCCCTGCCTTCTGGCTTTCCCCCTCTTTCCTAGAAGGCCGGACTCAAAAAGAGAAGAAAGCTTCCCGTGCTCGTTCCAAAGGGAAAAACTCAGATGAAGAAGCCCCTAAGGCTGCCCAGAAGAAGCTAAAACTTGTGCGCACGTGAGTGTATCGGGGAGCACTTTGTCAGATGACATGCTCTTCTCTCCCCCCGCCCCCAATCCCACCCCACCCTGCCCCTTGCCACTTTCTCTGTCTTCTGTGCCAGTAACTCCTCTCCTTACCATTTTGCTCCCTGCTGGACAGAGAAGCCCCAAATCACTTGCCCCACCAAGGTCTCAAGTTCTAGCTATCTTGGGCATACAGATGACACTTTCTCTTCCTCTTGGCATGCAGAAGTCCTGAGTATGGGATGCCCTCAGTGACCTTTGGCAGTGTCCATCCCTCTGATGTGTTGGATATGCCTGTGGATCCCAACGAACCCACCTATTGCCTTTGTCACCAGGTCTCCTATGGAGAGATGATTGGCTGTGACAACCCTGATGTGAGAACCGCTTTGCCACAGGGGTCCTAGGGGACATAAAGGGAGTGGGAACAAGAGGAGGGAAAATAGTTGAATAGCGGGACTTCAGAATAGGAAGAAGGCAGTTGGAGTTGTTTGGCCTTGGGACCTCTAAGAATTCTTCGAAGGGATGGGCTAAGGGGATACTAAGGAATCCAGGGGTGGGGACTTCTTTGCTTTCCTCTGCCCCACTGGTCCGACTTCTGCTTCTTTCATCCTCTTCCTTTTCTAGTGTTCCATAGAGTGGTTCCACTTCGCCTGTGTGGGGCTGACGACCAAGCCTCGAGGGAAATGGTGAGTGAGAGTTATTGCAGGAGCTGAGCTGCCCCTAAGCGGTGTAGCAGAGGGCATTCTCCCTCACTTTCTCCCTCCCCTTCTCTCTCTTTCTGTTCTTGCCTTTTTAGGTTTTGCCCACGCTGCTCCCAAGAACGGAAGAAGAAATAGATAAGGGCCTTGGATTCCAACAGAGTTTCTTCCACATCCCCTGACCCGGGCTAGTGGGGAGAGGAATGCCTGTGCTGGGGCCAGGGGGTTCAAGGTGAAGTGGATGGTGCAGTGTTATCATCCCTTCTCCTCCCCTCTCCCTACTCCTGGTGCTGAGGCTGCATCCAAATCCTGGTAGGGAGGGCTGCCGCAGCCACTAAGGATGTGTGCTGCCATTCAGCCCACCCCCTTCAGAGGGAAGTGGTCTTGCCCACTCTCCTTTTGCCTCCATGCTGAGGTTGGTGCTGTATTTCCGAGGGATGGTCCTCTTACTCCCCTTGCTTTGTATTTAAGGACTTGGGCAGTAGCATGGGGGCGCTCCCCCAGCCCTACTAATCCCCCCCCCCCCGTGGGGGTTGGCTATTGTGTAATAAACTTTCATCATTCTCTTCCTGCTCTTTCCACGTGGGGGTTCCCCCAGTTTATCTGGGCTGTGGCCCTAATTGAAGGGGCACCCCTTCCTCTGTGCCAAGAGGATTCACCCTGGCCCTGTGAACGGGAGAGGGAGAGGGGGCAAGGTGGACTGCAGATAAGTCACATGTAAAGGAACTTGGGTAGGAGAATAAAAGCTGTACCTGGTGGCCTGCTGTGTTTTTTGTAGAGACAGCATTTTAGTACATGTGCTAAGCATTTTTTTTTTGTTTTGCATCCTTTGGGTTTGATAAGAGGCGGGAAGATGACATGCCAGAAGTAGGACAGGACATGGAACCAGAAGTACACCAGGATGCACAAGTTCTCAACCTGGGAAGGACAGAGCTGGCCGGGGGTGTGTGCCTCAGACCAGGGGTTTCCAAAACTTAAAATTATGTATCTTTTCTCCATAAAACATCTGCCACTTAATTTCCAATAAATGTGTATTTGTGTTTTATACATATACTATTATACTAAATGTTAGCTTGATTTCTTATTTTAAACACAAAACAAAAACATTTTCTCTCCTGCGACTATGAATTGTCTTGCTCACCTTCCAATGGGAAAACACTTCTGTAGACTGAGCCATTCTTACACCTGAGCTCCCCCTCACCTGAACCCTGCTCCTTTCCCCTTTTGGCTCATTTCTTACCTGGAGGCTTCCTTTCAGGTACCTACCCAGGTAGGCCCTGAGTTTGTTTTGTACATTCTATGTCTGTTGCCCAGAACCCTGTCTTGTACTGGTACTCACATTCAGCCTCACTGCCTGTTGGGCAAATTGTTTCTCCAAGTCCCGGTTTCATCATCTGTAAAATAGGGGATCCACTCGAAGGGATGACCTTGTTAATGAAATGAGGTGAGGCACATAAAGAACACAGAACTTACTCCGTGAAAGGTACTGCGTCAATGATAACTTTGCCATCATCATCCTATCCTCTGGAGTATATGACACGTGAGGACCCATACCCCCGCCACCCGTCAGTTTCTGAGGCCCCGCCCCAGGCCTTTTGTGACGTGGGGCCGCCCCTTCTACTACGGGTCAGAAAGCCCGCGCCTGCCGGTTCTCTGGTTTGGCCGGTTAGAAGGCCGCTTTGGTCTGGGAAACGCGCGCGGATTGTCTGGGGCCATGAGGAAGCTCACCGCTGGCTTCCTTCTCTCGCTCCTGAAGGGTGAGAGATTCCCACCTACTCGGTCTCTTCCCTCCCCGGGCTCGGTCTTCTACCTCCCGAGAGCCCTTCCTTTACTGTTTCGGAAACGTTTCTCAAGGAGGTTGCGTTGGATGTGCTCCCCAACTTCTTATTGAGCTCCTCCCCGATTTCCACCGGGCTCACCTTTGTCTCTGCCCCTGGCATCCCCACCGGTCAGACATCCCCGGTTCCTAATTTGCACGGGGCCCCGCTGGCCAGGCTGTCCTGTCCCAGGCCTGGAGCGGGTTTTGGAATTCCGTCCATCCATCAGTCTCTTCCCCACCTCGCAGTGCTGCTCCTGCCTCCGCCAACTACCTCAGCCCAGGATTCCATTTCGGCCTCCACTCCAGGCAGCCCTCTCTCTCCCACCGAATATGAACGCTTCTTCGCACTGCTGACCCCTACCTGGAAGGCAGAGATTACCTGCCGTCTCCGTGCAACCCACGGCTGCCGGAATCCCACCCTTGTCCAGCTGGACCAATATGAGAATCACGGCTTGGTGCCTGATGGTGAGGGCCTAACTAGTGGGGCAGCCCTGTGCTCACTGGAGACAGGGGAAATGATATGGATGGTCTCTTACCCTGTGCCCATATTCTCCACTCTCCAGACCCAAAGTGCCCACCTCCTTCTCCAGGAGGGAGCTCCCCCTTGTGTGTTCACTTTTTCCATCCCTACCCCTTCTCAGGCGCTGTTTGCTCCGACCTCCCTTATGCCTCCTGGTTTGAGTCCTTCTGCCAGTTTACTCAGTACCGTTGCTCTAACCGCGTCTACTATGCCAAGGTGAGGACAAAGGGAGATCTGGTGTTGCAGGACCAAGGGAGAGGCTGTGGCAGTGAGGAGCTGCAGAAGGGCTTTAGGAGGGCGATCCTGAGATCCTGCCTCAGTGCCACTTTGCCCAGATTGCGTACGAATACAGCCTCACCTTGGGCATTCTTAGACTGTCAGAACACTCCTGTTACTGCAAGAAAAGGAGGGAAGAGGGATGGGAAGAGGCAAAGAGATAAGCCCTTCCATTTCTTTTAATGGCCAGTGATTTCATTCAAGTCAAACACAAGAGACTGAAGGCAGGGGTGTGGCCCAGACACAGAGTTTTATCTTGCAGGGAACCCTTTCTCAGGTCTAGAGGGTTCCGCCAGGGACCATGTCCCTTCATCCCTACCCAGGAACTGTGAGACAGAAGGCATGCTGGAAAAGGGACTGAGGAATAAGCTGGAGTAGAAGTCCACCCTTTGGGAAAGGCATTCCCACGTTCCTTCTCTTCTTGCAGAGAGTCCGATGCTCCCAGCCAGTCTCAATTCTCTCACCTAACACTCCCAAGGGGATAGACTCTTCTGCTGAAGTCCCGCCTACCACAATGACCTCCCCCATGTCATCACACATCACAGGTGAGACTCTCCCAGCACCTGGAAGACTACCAACAACCCCTTCCACAAATCCCAGGGCCCAGGATTGAAGGCGTCAGTGGTAGGGAAATGGGAAGAAAGTGGAGGGAAGGTGGGAGATGGGGGCAGGCATCTCTTTACATAAGGCGGAGACTGCTTTTTATGAGTACAAGTTAGAGCTTTCTTGTCCCAGAATATCTTCTGACATTACTTACAAGCCTGCCCTGAATCCATTTTTCGTAACGCTCAAAAACATTCCTGTATGTGGAAGTCCTCTGGGACTTTTGTAAGCTAACATCTTCAGCCTGGAAAGGATTAGTTGCTAGCTATTCAAAATACTTAGTGTTTCCTAAGAGATAAGGACAACAGGTGGTATTTGAGGTGGGAGTTAAGGAAGAGGAGCACTTGTAAGCGAGGCAGAAAGGTGACATGCTACCAACACCGCAATCACCATGGTAATACTGTTTGGATATTCGTACTCATTCTGTGTCTTTTATACTTGACTGTGTGGATAAGTATGATTTAGGCTGCTTTCTTCTGTCTTGGTGTTTATGTGTGTGTCTCTCTGTAAACAAAGACACTCGGGTGTCCAGAAAGCTAACCATCCCCTTCCTTCTCTTTCTTGGTCCCTCCCAAACCCTGCTGCAGCCACAGAACAGCAGGCCTTCCAGCCCTGGCCCGAACGGCTCAACAACAACGTGGAAGAGCTGCTGCAGTCCTCCTTGTCCCTGGGAGGCCAGGAGCAAGGGTCAGATCACAAGCAAAATCAAGGGCAGGAGCAAGAACAAGAACATAAGCAGGAGAAAGGGCAGGAGCAAGAGGAGCAGGAGGAGGAGGAGGAGCAGGAGGAGGAGGGGAAGCTGGAGGAAGGAGAGGGGACAGAGAAGGGACTGGAGGCCATGTCTGGGCTGCAGACGGACTCAGAGCCCAAGTTCCAGGCCCAAGTTTTATCTTCCAAGCCTTTCTCCTTTACTCCCCGGGTGAGGGAAGTGGAGACTACACCTATGATGATGGAGACTATTCAGGAACTCATTCGATCTGCCCAGAAAATGGATGAAATGAGTGATGCATATGATGAGGATTCCACCTGGAAAAGCCAAAACTCTGGCAGGTACAGGAAGTTCTGACTCCCCCAGCAGCCCTACCCTTCCTGCTGCTTTCTTTGGCAATGAGAAGCCCACTTTCCAGGATTCAGCTTCAGCTTCCAGACCCACTCAGACTTGGTTGGGCTTCAGGCGTACCTAGAAATTGCCTGCCTCAGCTGTTCTGTGGCCATCATTGGTTTAAGCACTGCCCTAGACTGCCCGTTTTTTACACGATGTAATGGAATGAGCCCTGTATCTGGAGCTATTAGACTTGGGTTCCGGTCTTGTCTCTGGCCTTGATGAACATTGCAACTTTGAGGAAGTTACTTCCCCTTTCTGGACCTCAGTTCCTCATTTTTAAAAGAAGGCAGTTGGAGATGCCTCTGAGGCTCCATCCAGCTCACTGAATGTGTATGACCAAGAGCAGAGGCTGAGGGGAGGGGAAGAGAGTGGCTATGGCTTTCTGCCCCAGCCCTCTGGCCTGTCCCCACCAGTCAGTGCTGTCTCCTTGCAGCCTCCTGCAGCTGCCCCATGTGGAGGCCTTGCTGGTGATGTGCTATTCCATTATGGAGAACAGTTGCATCATGACCCCCACAGCCAGGGCCTGGCGGCACTTGGAGGATGAGATCCTTGGTTTCGGGAAGACGGTATGTCCACCATGTTGTTTAATGGATACATGCTCATTGGTCATGCTCTGGCCTTGGCACAATACTAGGCCATGGGAATGGGGGGATAAGCAGGAATACAGCAAGCATGAGGCATTGCTGGAGAGGTTTTCTTCAAGTGGGAATCCCTTCTCTGGAAAGACATCTCCAGCTCACCTTAAAGAAGGAAGGTTCAAGACCTAGTCTGGAATCCATTCCAATCCAGAATTCACCCTTCAGCTCTCTAAGTTGTTAGGCTTGAGTCATCTCCTGATCCAGTTCACCATCTTCAATACTTGGCTCTGCCTCAGATGCAGCTCTCCTTTCCACAGGGGTCATAGAACCCATTCCAGGGATCTGTAGAGAGATTCCAGTCTCAATGTGTCCTCAGCACCCAGCAAGTCCTAGTCCCAGGAAAATATCCTTTAGGTTTTCAAATAATACAAGTTAGCAAACATTTGTCGAGAGCTGGTATGCCCTCCATTCATCCATTTGTTTAACAAATATTGATTGGGCCCCAACTCTGTGCCAGGTATTTGAGATGTTGGCAATGAATACAATAGATCCAACCGTCTTGGAGCTCTGGAGTCTAGCGGGAGAGACAGACGGGGAAACAGGCAGAACAGCATGATGGGATAAATGCTGTGATGGATAAGTACAAAGTGCAGACAGAGCGGAAGGGGAGCACAACTGTCTGTGTTTGGGAGGATCAGAGAATGCTTCTTAGAGGAACTAATGTTTAAACTGAAACCTGAGGAGGAAAAATGTTAACCAGGCAAAAGAAGAGGATCAGTAGAAGGTTCCTGCTGGAGGGACTAGTACGTATGTGCAAGAAAGAGAAGAGATTTCATGAGGGACTAAGAATGCGCATGTTGCTCCTGCCCTTAAAAGGCCTAGAGCCCACAAGAGATTCAGCAGCGTTACAAAAGGGTGTGATAGGTGTTGGAGAGAGTATTTTTTTGGGGGTGGGTCGGTGCATGAGGGGATCAGTGTGTTTTTCCAGGACCCATCAGCTCCAAGTCAAGAAGTTTTTCATTCTAGTTGTGGAGGGTGCAACTCAGTGGCCCATGTGGGGATCAAACCGGCAACCTTGGTGTTATGAGCACTGTGCTCTAACCAACTGAGCTAACCAGCCACCCTGGAGGGAGTTTTTTAAGTGTGGGAAGTTCAGGAGTCATGGAGAGCCCAATGGATTTTAAGGCTCTGGTTAAGGAAACAGTAAGGAGCCCATTTTGCCTGGAGCAAAATATTAGGAGTCAAAGAGATAATAAGGGTCAGAATGTGGAAAATCTCGAATGGCAGTCTGAAGCATTTGTTTTTAATTTGGTAGGAAAGAGGAATTTAGTAACCATTTTTGGTCAGGGACATGACCATGCCTCCCTAGAAGCTGTTGTGCAGAGTAAACAAGGTGATGTAGGAGATTTTGTCACTGTGATGTGCTGTAGCCATGGATGCAGGAGGAGATGGATGGATTGACTGGAGATCCTCCTGAGAACGCTGAGGAGCTCGGTCAGGGTGCAGAGTCCAGCTAGGAGGTGGGTACCTCCACTCTAAACAATGTCTTCCAAGAACTTGGAGGTGTTGAACCTAGGTGCTAGAGTATAGGTCTTGAAGTTAAAAAGACTGGATCTTTGTCCCAACTCCACCATGTATAAGATGTGTGGTTTTGCGCAAGTTACCTCACTGAGCCTGTTTCCTCATAGGTCAAATGGACACATTATTAGTACCTATGCTAGGGTAGGGTTCTTGTGAGGACTAAACAAGATGATAGCATTTATAGCCATGGTGCCTAGCCCTATGTCAACTCTTTGTAAATATTAGCATTATCATGAGAGAGAGAGAGAGAGAGAGAGAGAGAGAGAGAGAGAGAGAGAGAGAGAGATGGTTAGGAGTCCTATTCAGATAAGTTAGGGGTCGTTGTTGGTCACTGGATGGTAGACATCTGTCAGGCACTTGGCAATTGAGGATTTGGAGCTTGGGAAAGAGATCAGAACTGATGACAAAGATCTGGGTGTCACCAACAGAGAGATGAAGATTATCTGGGAGGAGATAAATCATCCAGGAAGAGGGTGAACAAATAGAGAGCTGAGGCAAGGTCCTTGAGGAGCCCTTGGGGAGAGGAGTAGGGAGAAATGCCAGAGCAGCTTTCTGAAGAGCCTAAATGCAAAGACTTTGTGGGGATGGCTCTGGAGGGCTGAGTGTGGGGGAATCTCAACCTCAGCCTCTTAGCCACATTCTTGCCCCAGGTCTGTGACAGTCTTGGGCGGCAGCACACAGCTACCTGTCCCCTCTGTGACTTCTGCTCACTGAAGCTGGAGCAATGCCACTCAGAGACCAACCTACAGCGGCAGCAGTGTGACAACGCCCACAAAACACCCTTCATGAGCCCCTTGCTTACATCTCAGAGCTTGTCTGTTGGCACCCAGGTACCTAACTAGCTGGGCAGCCTGCAGTGGCGAGGGGATGGAGGGTGGGGAGGGGGGTGCTCAGGCTCCAGACAGATCTGGGCAGTGGGAAGGGAGGCCTGCAGGGGAACAGGGGCGTGCACATCTCCCCTGTCCTTGTCCCATGTGCCACAGATGGGGACTGTACAATCGGGCCGCTTTTATGGGCTGGATTTGTACGGTGGTCTCCGCATGGACTTTTGGTGTGCCCGACTAGCCACAAAGGGCTGTGAAGATAATCGAGTTGCCAGCTGGCTCCAGACTGAGTTCCTTAGCTTCCAGGATGGGGATTTCCCTACCAAGGTCAGCACCTTTCCCCAAAGCTCAGCCCAACCCCACTCACTCCAGTTCTTTCTGGTTACTTGCTCTAGGCAGCCCATTCTAGGGCTTGGGCCCCTGACTTCTGAGAACCAGTCCTCACTGAGCCTCCTGCATCTCTCCAATAGACTCCCCCACACACACACACACACAGTAGAGTAGGATTGTGTTTAGCAAAGGAGTAGGAATTAGGAGGGGTGGGAGAGCGTGAGACTGGGAGGCAGGAGACAGAGGTTCTGGTCCCAGTTCTGCCAGCTACCTGCCGAGGAGCTTTGGTCAAGTCACTTCCCTCTCTAGGCCAAAATTATACTCATCCCTATAACACATGACTAGGTGATGCCTGAGGGGCCACCACCCTCGTGATCCAGTACTTTCACTGCCTCAGTTTGAGTTTCCTTCCTGGGCTCTTCCTGTGTTTTCCCTGTTGCATCAACTTTGCTCCCCACCTCCCCAAAGCTACTTCCCCTGTGGAACTATCTGTTGTGCCTGAGACCAGGCCTCTCCCTTCTGTGGTTTAGCTGAGGGGCCCCTAGATCTGGAAGGGATCTCAGAGATCCTCTCTGCTGCTCCCTTGGATTTATAGATGGGAAGGTAAGGTCCACAGAGGGAAGTGATTCCCCCAAGGTCACACATTAGAGATTGTTCTACCCTCTCCCTCATTTACCCATCACTAGAAGACTCCCTGAGATTGGGCAACCAACTGGGCCCCCTTCCCATGTTGTGCACCCTCAGTGCCCCTCCTCCTGGGTCCCCATTCCTCAGCCATTTCCCCACCAAGTGGACCAGCAGAACAGCTACTTCCCACTCTCTGGCCCCTGGCTTCTTCCCACTGACTGAACTATGACAGAGAACGGGATTGGAAAGGCAGAGGGGACAAAGACCTGTTCCTCAGAGAGGGGGCACCCTAGGTATAGAAGGTCTGGTTCCAAAGGGCCACATTCCTGCCCCTGGTTCTGGCACTGTGGACACCACTCTCTAGAGAGCTTTTGTTTTGTAAGGCTTCTGATGTCTCCCCACCTCCCCATCTCTGGCTCCTGGTTTAGATTTGTGACACAGACTATGTGCAGTACCCGAACTACTGTGCCTTCAAAAGCCAACAGTGTCTGATGAGAAACCGGGATAGGAAGGTGAGCCCCTCACCCTGCCCACTCCTTCTCCCATCAGCCCCTCAATCGGTCACCTTGGTTGGGCCTGTTCTGAGCCACCCCTCATCTGCTCACCCCCCCACCCCGCCCCCCAGCTCCCCAGCAGCAGGGATGTTGAAAGCAGTTCCCTTATTTGCCTCTCAGGGCAGAGGCTTCCATCACAACACTCCCTCTCCCCTACTCCTCCAGCCTTGGTGTAAGCAAGGTCCCCTTAGGCTGGGAGGGTCTGTGAGGGAGGCTGCCAATGAGAGATGAGGGTTCTGAAGGCACCACGGGAAGAACCCCAGCTGGGTTGGGAATTACCATTGAGGTCTCACTCTTGCCTCCTGCTCTTACTCACCAAGTAGTCTGGGATAAGTCACTTCCTCCCCCAGCCTCAGCCTCATTTCTGAAAAGAGGGGGTTGGTGTCTCTTGTAACTTGAAAAATCCACACCTGAGTTTTCTCCTTCCCTCTACTGCCCTGTGCCCATGCCCACCAGCCCCTGCTTCTTTTGGGACTTCTGACACCTCCCCATCTCTACGCCTCTGGCTCCTGGCTCTGTGACACAGACTGTGTGTACCCAATCTCCATGTAGGTGTCCCGTATGAGATGTCTGCAGAACGAGACTTACAGTGTCTTGTCCCCAGCCAAAAGCGAGGAACTTGTGCTTCGATGGAGCCAGGAGTTTAGCACCTTGACTCTAAGTCAAGCCGGATGAGCTGGGGTTCGTCCTGTCCCCACCCCAGCCTAACATTTTCACATTCTCCATTGCTTTCAGACTCTGTTTGTCAATTTGCTTCTAGGCTGCCCCTTTTGGGGTTTTTAACCTGGCCCATACTCACGTTTTCCCTGAGTTGGGGCAGTAGTTCCAGAGAGGTCCATGATGGTAACTTAAAGGATGTCTTTGCATAAAATGTTTGTTTTCAACCTGTGTGGCCTATTTTGGTTATGATCCCATCCTCAGCACAGTGTCCCGTGGGAATCAATCCACCATCCCTCGAGGCTTATGGATCCGTCTGCTGGTAAAAAATCCTCGTGGGAATGGTGCTCAGGGAAGCAGCCACCTGCCAAGAGAAGAAGCCCTAAAAAATCAGGGAGTTGGATTGAAGAAGGCCGCAGAAGGCCAGAGCCTGACCGAAATCATGTCAGGGAAGGGAGGGGGACCAACTCCAGGGAAGGAGGGTGGGATTTGGATTTTATCAGAAGGGTGGAAATAGTTGGGGCTTGGAGCTCAGGAAACCCTTGATCTGATGTCCAGTAATGGGCCAGATGGTCTGAATGTTGAGGTGGTTGTGTCTTGGCAACATACATTGAGATGTGACTCCAACATTGGCTTTTAATAACGTGGGATATCCCAGAGTGTGTTCTGAGGACACGTATGTTTGGGGAACTGGACCGTCTCTCCCTCTCTTCTGTAGGTTCACAGTAGATTAACAGTATTAAAGAAAAAAGTTATGGAAAAGTTCAAATGCACAAAAATAGAACAGTATAATGCATCCCCATCTACCCTTCACCCAGCTTGGATTATCAACACATGATCAATCAATGGCGTGTTAAAAGCTCTGAGAAGCCCTGTAATAGAGAAGCTTGTTTAACCCAGTGTTTTTCAAACTCATTTGACCATAACACCCTTTTTCACCAACCACTCAAAAACTTGAAGTTGTTTTTGTGTATTGAGATTGGACTATATGCCCACTCCTATTGATACAGAAAACAAGGGGCTTGGCCTAAGGGTACAGAGAAGAGGGACTGTAATCTGAGCTCTGCCCAGCCCCTTCCCCCCAGCTCACAGCTTGGGAAAGAGACAAGCAAGGAGGAACCACCCAGCTTGGTAACTGCTGTGATGGAGGGGCTATGTGCACTCTGCAGTGAGAGTCGGCCAAGCGGCTGCAACTAGCACACAGAGGAGCCCTAGACAGTATGAGGTATAAGCCACTAGTGGCAAGAGCAAAACCACCTGTGGGAATCCAAAAAAGAAGAGACACCCAGGGGGAACTGGTGAGAACAGCGAGAGGCTGGTGGGTTAGTCATCGCATTAGTGGGTGTGTGTACCAGTTAGGCTTCCCGGAAACTGTGGGGAGTGTGTGAGCAGTGGGTGGGAGAGTCATTAGTTGGCCAGAGTTGGGGCTGAATTAAGTGCCATTATCTGCTGGGGTTTCTTTTCTGGCCAGTCTGTGAAGACAGCTGAAAGCACAGCTTCCTCTCTCTCTCTCCCCCCCACTTGTGGGGTTGAGTGAGTGCAGAGAGCTGGAATCTGCTGAGATCTGCCCAGGTGGGTGTGTCTCCACCAGCCCCAGGAGCAAGTCTTTCCAGCCCAGCCCAGTTCAGCCCAGCCCAGAGAAGGCTGCGGAAGTCAGCTTGGGGCAACGGCAGAGCTCCACAGGGAACCACAGGTATGGGGGTGTCACAGGTGGGCTTGAACCTCATGGGGGTACAAGGGACAGCACCCTCCTTTAGTAATTGGACACATGGGTGGGGATAGAGGTGAGTGTGAGCCATGGGCCCTGGGAAACCTTTTTGAATAGCTTAAAAGGTAAAAGGGTCTGCCTCAGGCATAAAGACCTTGTCAGACAACACACCCTGGTGTGCCCCTCTGAAGCTTAAAGCCCCCCACTTGGGCATCTTGTGGGGGCTGTGTTCTCCTTCACCCTGTAGGCCCCACTGTCATGCTAAACTCTGTGCTTCCCAAGTCCACCAAGGAGGGTCCTCTGGGGACACTTTCCAAACTTTTCCCACTCTCAGTTAATACTTAACTCCCCATACCCACTCAACTCCCAGGGCAAGGCCCTCTGCTAGATGACAATGAGTTTATCTGATTAAATTCCGTGAATGGGTTCATTGACACAAATGTGTTTTTATGGTTATCTTTCCCAGCTAACCAAGAGATAGTCTAATAGGGTCTTCAAGAAACACCGCCTTAACACCCAATGCATTCATTTATACAAGAGGATTAGACAAAATGGTCTTTTTTTTTTTTTAAGATTTTATTGAAAAATCCGGGAAGGAGAACAGACAAGTTGCTGTCCTTTTGTTCTTTAGTCCAGTTATGGAGGATGTCGCTTCACTGGCCCATGTTGGTGTTATCATTGCGCTCTTCCCAGCTGAGGTAGTCGCTCGCTGGTTATTCGATGGCCACTCACCACGGCTCACGGCGGCTCACAGCAGCTCGGCTGCCGGCTGCTCACACTGACTGCCAGCCATTCACGGTAGCTCACGGCTGCCCACTGCAGCAGGGGCTGCAGCCTACGCTGTCGCTGGCCACTCACGGCAGTCCATCTCCAGGTCGAGCTGTTGTTCACTAGACAAGATGGTCTTTAATGTCCCTATAGCTCTGATAGAAAATGGCTCATGAGTGACATGAAGTGGATGAAATTTCAGATATTGTGCACAGGTGAGGGAAATATTTGAGGGCGGGCAAGGTATTTATTTATTTATTTATTTATTTATAGCTGAGCCATCCTGACACCTGTTGGCAGCTCAGCGGCAGCTCAGCTCAGGCCAGGAATTGAACGGGCGACTTTGTTGCTCAGAGCTTGCACTCTTGAGTGAGTTCTTAACCAACTGAGTCACTCGGCCGGCCTAGGGCAAGACCTTTTGATACCTCTGTATCACAACAATGAGGGCAGCTGCCTGCCTATTACCTGTTTATGAGGGCCTCTTCTGACAAGAAGGGGATCGCCCACTAATTGTATCTCCAACTCCTTTTAGGATGAGCTGAAATTGTGGCCCTAAGGGGAGATGGAGGCAAGGATTGAGGGGGAAACAGAAAGTATACCTGGAAGCCTCACCTCCTAGCCACTCAGAGACTCTAGAGCTTAGCTCCCTCTGCCTCTGATGCCATCAGCTCTCCCCACCCTGCCGCCCCCAGCGGACATCCCAACACAGAAACGTTGTGTGCCCAGTCAGAAAGGGGGAGAACAGAAGCTCGTGGTGTGAGCACAGTGCTGCCAGAGTTCGGGGCTAGGTCAATGAGGCCAAAAGACTGCAGGAAACTTAAAGGTGGGACCCACCAGGCTCCAAAGCAGGGTAAGATGCATGCAGACCAACTCAGAGCACAGGGCCTGGACAGTTGATCTCGTCTGAATGACTTCTGATTAGGACTTTATTTCCCGTTTTTCCAGCTCTTGAAGCAGAGTGGAGGGAGATGTGCAGGTGGGAAGGTGACATCCCCACATTGGGAAAACTAATTATTGAGCTGTAGGCTGTTTTTGCTTTCTGCCTTTACCCAGAAAAACATGGGAGAGATGAGATCAGAATACCCGCGGTGGGAAAAGACATGGCTAAGGGTGATGTTGCAAAAGCAGGAGGAAACAGGCTCAAGTGGGGAGAGGGGGAGATGCTGGAGCAGGAATTTTGTCTGGGGCAAGCAGAGCAGGCCTGGACTAGGGAGGAGGGAGGAGAGAGATAGGATACGATGACCCCCTGGAGCCTGCACCAGAGAGGCACCTCTCTTTGAAAAGAATGTGGTCCCTGGGGCAGGAGGACAGCATCCACTGACCTTGGTGACCTTGTACTATCTCCACACCGCAAAGCCCTCAGATTCTAGACAAGCTAATGAGCAGGATTCATCTGTGTTCCCAAAGCCGCTCTGGGATAGAGCTTTTCACAAAGCCTTTAGACTGCGTTAAACTTTTGCTGGAGGTTCAGCACAGCTTGGATCTGTTTGGGAGTCTGAGTATACAGATACCAAGAGGTCTTCATAATCAAGCCTGTCTGTGTGTATAGATTACATTCTCCCAATTCTGCCCGAGCACAGAAGCAGAGAAATGGGCTTAGCTAACAAGGCATAGAGTGCACACAGTGGAGTGGGTGGGACACATGAATTGGCCGCAACTCCAGAATCTAAAATGAAGTTGGGGCTATTCTGGAGCTGATCTTCTGAAGCAAGGGGAATGGGAAGATCTGAGACTCCTTCTTTTCAAACTACTAAAAAGAGGAGGCGAAGAGAGAGCAAGGCATTTGGTGAACATGTGGAAAGGGCAAGAGAGGACGTGCCTGAGGGGGGTGGCAGACTGGAAAGCTGGACAAAGAGGAGATATTTCTCTCTCCTCCTCGCCCCTAACACTGTCCAAAATTGAGTATTCTTTTGTCTTCAGCTCCTGTCTGCACTGTTGGTCAGGTGCAAGGAGGGTGGATACCGTGGGCAGGTTGTGTGGAGGGGAAGGTATGACCACAATCTAGCTTCCTGACCACTTTTACTCTCTCATTCCAACTTCTTGCCTGTGGCAGAAAAGAGTCCTGTCCCTCTAGCTTATCTCAGCAAAGAGAGGTGCCCAGCCCAGTTCAGAGGGCAATGGGACAGGCCTGAAAGGCCCCGAGGACATAAGGAACCTGGGCCTGAATGTGCACGTGGGCAGAGATGCAGGGAGGAGGAAAGTGGCTGCGCATGCTCTGGTGTATGAGTGGTGTGATGGGCGGGTTATGTGGGGTGGTGCAGTCCCCGCTTCCTCCACGTGTTTGGCACTTTCTTTGCTCCTCAGTGCCTTGGGGCTTGTATCTGTTTGTGCACATCTGCATGGGTATGTGCTCCTGAAGCTGCCTGACTATGTCTGTCTGTGTAAGGACATGGTCCCTAAGGCACCCTTTCCTCCTGGGGCCGGTTGTCCATGCCTCCCTGCATACATATACTTGTGTGTTACAGGGTTTGTAGAGATGTTGATTGCTTTGTTACTAGGGATCTTGTGAGCACGTCTCTTAGTGTACCCAGACCTCTGTGTGTTCTTGTATGGGCCCGTGTGTGTAGTGGTATGCTTATATTACCACATTTGTGTGTGTCAAGGTGATTGAGCCTATGTGGGCCCCCATGGCATGTCCCTCCTTCCCCCGGGTGAAGTGAAACCCCAGTGGCCATCGTTTTCTGGAATGGCTGCTGTTTCTTTACTTCCTCCATTTCCCCCACAACCTGACTTCTTCCTCCAGACAGGATTGGGGAGAGGGTAGGGCTGCCCCTTCCCCACATCTGAAAGCCTCCTTCCATTTCCTGTTTGCCTCCTTTTTGGCAGTTTTTCTCATCTTTGCCATCTGGCCTGGCACTGTGCCCATTCAGCTCCACTGACAGAAACCCCAGGGAAGCAGGCAGATGGGGTGGGGACGAGGGCAGGGGCTTGGCAGCTCTCAATGCCAGGCCATTCTGTGAGTGTCAGAAAGGGGCGACTTACTTACTTTATTTTATTTATTTATTTACTTATTTACTTACTTACTTATTTATTTATCTAATTATTTATTTATTTATTCATTACAAATAGGCTCCATTATAGAGAAACCAAGGACTTCTTTCTTATGGAATTAGAGCATTGCCTTGGGCTTTACTAAAGGATTCTTAACTTTACCTTTAAGTAGCAGTTCACCTAATACATTTTGGTTTGTTTAACATTGTAACTTTGTTGACAGAAAGACTTGGAATTCTTGGGAAATTATTATTCATTATTCAGTGTCTAGTAGGTGCCTACTAGTTGTAGGGAGCTATTGATTTTCCAAGTAATAGTTAAGAATGATAAAGTGTTACTGTGAGCATAGTGTAAACTGTTATTGAAATTTTAATGCAAACTGTTTCCAAACAGGTCTTTTAAGGGAAATGGTCTTTTATTAAGTGAGTTATGGATGTGGGCAAGATAATCAGGAGTGTAATAAGAAGTAGTTAGCTGCTGAGCTGCCAACAGGTGGCAGGATGGCTCAGCTGATGAGAGCACTTGCTCCTAACAACAAGGTTTCTGGTTCGACTCCCACATGGGATGATGGGCTACGCCCACCTGCAGCTAAGATTGAACTCAGCACCTTGAGCTGAGTGGCTGAAAGCTGCCGATGGGTGGCCGGATGGCAACTGGAGTTGGAGCTGAGCTAGCTGCGCCCTCCACAACTAAGACTGAAGGACAACAACTTGGCTGTTCCCCTTCCCCAATTCCCCAACACTGTTCCCCTTCC